GCAGTGGGGGAAGGGGGGAAGGGAAGGGGGGAAGGGATGGGGAGGAAGGGAAAGGGGAGGGGGGGAGAGGGGGGGTGTAACGCATTGCCCTAACTAAGCTAACTAACCAACTTCCCTCTAGGCAAATGTAGAAGAGGGACTTGGAGAATAAAGTTGGCTTTGGTTGGGATGGAAGGGTTGGTTTGGTTTTCCAAACCTCAACCAAGAGGATTGGGAAACTCCAACCCATCAAAGTGAAATCACAAAGGTTGGAATTCCAACCAATCAGAAACTGCCAAACAATTGTTACAATCTACTCTATCCTAAACACAACCATTGAATGGTTCTAAGTTGGGTTTTCCAACCCAACACAATTGCCACATAGGCTCCAAGCCTAGGAGCCATCCCACCATGGAAACCATGGTTGGGATAGTTCCCAAAGGGGGTTTTGAGGGGGTCTGAGCTAGGCAAGGCTTCGAGCTCATTCTCAACCTCCCACTCCAACTAAACAATTGGAAATGGGATTGTTTCTCTAAGTCCTTTTGGGCTCTCTCTCACAAGCCTTCCTACACAACTCTCTCAAAGTTATTTCATCAACTCATTCGAGAAGGTCGACTTCCAAGGCTTCACCTACCAAGTTTCCAAAACTTGAGGCTACTATTAGGACTAGTCTTTACACTGTGTGTGTGTTCTTGGCGTTTTATAAGCCTACTATTGACCCTTTTGTGGGCATTCATTTATAAGCCCGGGTCCTTATTGTGATTTTAAGGGCGTTTTCATATAAGCCCGTGTTACAGGGGGGGGCTTTTATTGCGACAACTCTGTTCTCTTCTTTCCCTCCATCCCAGTCCCCTTGGCTTCTGCACCGCCAACTCGCACCAGCAGCTCCGGCCACACTCCTTCTGCACTTCACCCACCCCCCTCTCCTCTGTCGTTTCCCGGCCCCCAAATCCCCCAGGTGCTGGAGTGCAGGAACAGCACGGGCAGCAGCTGTGCGGCGGGCGGGTGGCCGACAGCAGCGCTGGACTTCATGGTGGACGCCACAATGACGTGGGGGGGGCTTGCCACCGAGGCTGGATACGCGTACACGCAGAAGGACGGCAAATGCAACCGCGGCAAGGTACGCCTGCGAAGAATACAGCAGGGGAAGGTACACTTGAGGGAGGTACGTCTGGTGGAGGTGCGACTGTCGAAGGTACGCTGCAGTGGGGGGGCGTGGCCACCGAGGCTGGGCGCGCGTACACACAGAAGGACAGGGAGGTACACCTAAGGGAGGTTCGCATGGGGAAGGTACACCTAAGGGAGGTTCGCCTGGGGGAGGTGTGAGAGGATCTGCACTGGAGATCCCCGATAAATCCTAAGAAAGGATTATAGACTCTCTTGCCTAGGGGGTTATGGGCGCACTCACCCGCTACTTAACAAGCCATTTAATCTCAGTGGTCTTGGTTGAGGTTCTGACACCAACCAGAGCGAAGGTCTAAGTTTTGTATCCTTGTGTGTGCACATGCTGGCGCTGCCGCTGTGCCGTGTCCTAAGGCATCTCTGTAAAAGGGGGGTGTAAGAGGACGCGCATTGATGATTCTCGATTGATCCTAGAAAATATAGGCATGCTTGCTTGGGGGGTTATGAGCGCCCTCACCCGCAATTTATCAAGCATTTTATCCCAGTGGTTAGTGGCTGGATTTGTTACAGGAGGTTCGTCTGGGGGTGGTGTGCACGGGGGAGGTACGCCTGGGGGATCGTGCACTTAGAACGGTGCCTTGCCCATGTATAGGAATCATATGCCTTTGTGCCCTTGCCTTTGTTCCCTGACCTTGCACCCCTACCCTTGGTCATACCCCTTCGCCCATGCCCCTGCGCGGATGACCCTGCGCCCATGCTCCCATGCCCCCGCGCCCATACCCATGTGCCCATGCCCATGCGCCCGTACGTGCGCATGTGCTTGTGCCCTGTCTTTCCCCCCCAGGTGTTGCAGCACGCGACAGCCATAGGCGTGACGGGATACGACCAGGTGGACTATTACAGCTGGCTGGGCCTGCTGCTGAATGCCCACCCACATGCCCATGCCCATGTGCCCGTCGCCATGCCCATGTACCCATGCCCATGTACCCATGCCCATGTGCCCATGCCCATGTGCCCATGCCCATGTACCCATGCCCATGTACCCATGCCCATGTGCCCATGCCCATGTACCCATGCCCATGTGCCCATGCCCATGTACCCATGCCCATGTGCCCATGCCCATGTACCCATGCCCATGTACCCATGCCCATGTGCCCATGCCCATGTACCCATGCCCATGTGCCCATGCCCATGTACCCATGCCCATGTACCCATGCCCATGTGCCCATGCCCATGTACCCATGCCCTTGTGCCCACGCGCCCCTGCCCCAGGCGAAGCAGCAGGCGACGACCATTGGCGTGACGGGGTATGATCAGGTGGACTACTACGGCTGGCTCGGTCTGATGCTCGCTGTTTATGTGAGTCTATGATTGGTGCGCCGGTGAGGGGAGCAGTGCAGGCGCCAGTGCAGCAAGTTGCTGGAATCCAGTGCATATTCCCTCCCTGCCCACGCTTTGTGTTTCTCTTCTCAGCAAGAACCTGCCCCAGCTCTTGCCGTCCTGTTTCCCCTCCACCCGCACTTCTCTATCCGCCCATTCCTCATCTCCCCTTCTCTCCTCTCTTCACCTCTCTTTCGCTTCCCTCCCATCCCCACCCCTCTCCTTCCCCCCCTTTCCCTCCCCTCCTACCCACTCCCCCCCTCCCCAATGCCTCCCTGCTGCAGGCTCAACCCACCATTGCATTCGTGCGAGGCTCCTACCCCTCCTTCCAGAACTATACAGATGTAAGGGAAACAGTGCTTTGGTGTGTCTTTGTCGTAATTTAAAGGCTCTTACCCCTCCTTCCAGATGCACACAGAGGTACGGGGAGCATTCACGCGGAGACAGAGGTACGGGGAGCATTCACAAAGTGCGAAGGATGCACACAGAGGTACAGGGAGCAGGGTCATTTGAATTGCGTCTAGTGCCTCTCAAGCCACCCAAGTTTACATTGAGACGTCTCAAGCCACCCAAGTTTATATTGAGACGTCTCAAGCCACCCAAGTTTATATTGAGACGTCTCAAGCCACCCAAGTTTACATTGAGACGTCTCAAGCCACCCAAGTTTACATTGAGACGTCTCAAGCCACCCAAGTTTATATTGAGACGTCTCAAGCCACCCAAGTTTACATTGAGACGTCTCAAGCCACCCAAGTTTACATTGAGACGTCTCAAGCCACCCAAGTTTATATTGAGACGTCTCAAGCCACCCAAGTTTACATTGAGACGTCTCAAGCCACCGAAGTTTATATTGAGACGTCTCAAGCCACCCTAGTTTATTTTGAGACGTCTCAAGCCACCCAAGTTTATATTGAGACGTCTCAAGCCACCCAAGTTTATTTTGAGACGTCTCAAGCCACCCAAGTTTATTTTGAGACGTCTCAAGCCACCCAAGTTTATATTGAGACGTCTCAAGCCACCCAAGTTTATGTTGAGACGTCTCAAGCCACCCAAGTTTATATTGAGACGTCTCAAGCCACCCTAGTTTATTTTGAGACGTCTCAAGCCACCCAAGTTTATTTTGAGACGTCTCAAGCCACCCAAGTTTATATTGAGACGTCTCAAGCCACCCTTGTTTATATTGAGACGTCTCAAGCCACCCTAGTTTATATTGAGACGTCTCAAGCCACCCAAGTTTATGTTAAGACGTCTCAAGCCACCCTTGTTTATTTTGAGACGTCTCAAGCCACCCAAGTTTATTTTGAGACGTCTCAAGCCACCCAAGTTTATGTTAAGACGTCTCAAGCCACCCAAGTTTATATTGAGACGTCTCAAGCCACCCTAGTTTATTTTGAGACGTCTCAAGCCACCCAAGTTTATATTGAGACGTCTCAAGCCACCCAAGTTTATATTGAGACGTCTCAAGCCACCCAAGTTTATTTTGAGACGTCTCAAGCCACCCTAGTTTATTTTGAGACGTCTCAAGCCACCCAAGTTTATATTGAGACGTCTCAAGCCACCCAAGTTTATATTGAGACGTCTCAAGCCACCCAAGTTTACATTGAGACGTCTCAAGCCACCCAAGTCTATATTGAGACGTCTCAAGCCACCCAAGTCTACATTGAGACGTCTCAAGCCACCCAAGTTTATATTGAGACGTCTCAAGCCACCCAAGTTTATATTGAGACGTCTCAAGCCACCCAAGTTTATATTGAGACGTCTCAAGCCACCCAAGTCTACATTGAGACGTCTCAAGCCACCCAAGTTTATATTGAGACGTCTCAAGCCACCCAAGTTTATTTTGAGACGTCTCAATCCACCCTAGTTTATTTTGAGACGTCTCAAGCCACCCAAGTTTATTTTGAGACGTCTCAATCCACCCTTGTTTATATTGAGACGTCTCAAGCCACCCAAGTTTACATTGAGACGTCTCAAGCCACCCAAGTTTATGTTGAGACGTCTCAAGCCACCCAAGTTTATATTGAGACGTCTCAAGCCACCCTAGTTTATTTTGAGACGTCTCAAGCCACCCAAGTTTATATTGAGACGTCTCAAGCCACCCAAGTTTATATTGAGACGTCTCAAGCCACCCTAGTTTATTTTGAGACGTCTTAAGCCACCCAAGTTTATATTGAGACGTCTCAAGCCACCCAAGTTTATATTTAGACGTCTCAAGTCACCCAAGTTTATATTGAGACGTCTCAAGCCACCCTAGTTTAACCCACCATTGTGGTTGCTTGCTTCAGGCTCTCACCCCTCCTGCCAGTCGCACAGAGAGGTACGTGAAACACTGTGCTGGTGAATTCTTAGCTTGACTCAGAGGCTCTTACCCCTCCCCACGTTACAGGCCTACACAGAGGTACAGATTTTTTTTTTTTAAGGCGCCTAAAGAATCCTCGTACCCCACGTTACAGGAATTCACAGAGGTACAGAAAACAGTTGTTTGGTGTATGTTGAGTTGAGTCAAGAAATCTTTCGAGATGCACCAAACAACTGTTTACTGTAGGGCGTGCCTCAAAAGGTGGTATAAGGAGTGTCTTGTGGCAGGCAGGGCGACTACTACTCATGGTGGGGCCTACTACTCATGGTGGGGCCTACTACTCATGGTGGGGCCTACTACTCATGGTGGGGCCTACTACTCATGGTGGGGCCTACTACTCATGGTGGGGCCTACTACTCATGGTGGGGCCTACTACTTATGGTGGGAGTGGTGGATCACAGCGTGGTGGTGATGGGGGATCTGCCACTCTTTGTCTAGTGCTCACCCTTCTCCTCTTCCACTTTTCGGGCCCACTTTTCAGGGCATATATTATGACCCAGGGTGTGCAGCGGCGGGGGTGGTGGATCACAGCGTGGTGGTGATGGGCTACAGCATCTCTGCGATAGAGGGCGCCTACTGGATCCTACGCAACTCCTGGGGGGCCACGTGGGGCATGCAGGTGCGTCACATGCTGCTAACCCACTGAGATGCACCACATACCGCTCAGAAGCAACTCCAATATGGCTGATGCTGGTGATGAGGATAGCATAACGTCGTCGGACGGCGCCTACTGGATCCCCTGTGTGATAAGTCGGCGCCTACTGGATCCCCTGTGTGATAAGTCGGCGCCTACTGGATCCCGTGTAACTCCTGGGGGCCCAACTGGGGCATGAAGGTGGGCATTGCGGGGCTTTGGTCTTGCAAGTCGTTCTTTATAACATAATAGAATTTAGAATTTTACAAATTGCTCTATGCATGCATTCTCACTCTCTGCTTGCAGGGCTACATGAAAATGGCCTTTGAGGGAGGCGTTGGCATCTGTGGCATTCACTCCGTGCCGGCCCTCTACCCCATCATTCAGAGTGAGTAGTCCCCCTCGGTGAGCCATGTGCCCTTGTGTGAACAGCATGTGCCCTCCTCCCTCTCTTAGTGCCTCCCATCTACCCCATCATCCACAGTGAGTACTCCCCCTCCTCTGTGAGCTTCTATGCAGTGCATGCGTGCATGTGTGCACATGTGAACGCGCACACTCGCACACACAACCTGTGCATCAACAGTAACATCTGTAACATGCGCTCAGTGCCACCCATCTACCCTGTCATCCACAGTGAGTGCCCTTTGCTCTGCCCTCTGCCCTCTGCCCTCTGCTCTCTGCCCTCTGCCCCCTGCCCTCTGCCCTCTGCGATGGTTACTTATGGCCCCTCGGGCCTGCCGTTCTTTCATTCTTCTGATCTCATCTCGTTCCCTCCTCCCTCCTCACTCCTCCTCCTCCCTCCTCCCTCCTCCCTCCTCCCTCCTCCCTCCTCCCTCCTCCCTCCTCCCTCCTCCCTCCTCCCTCCTCCCTCCTCCCTCCTCCCCTTCCCACCTCCCCCTTCCCCTACCCACGCCACACACGGCGCCCTCGCCATGCGTATCACCTCCTCCCACCCTCCTCCCACCCTCCTCCCCTCTCCCCTTACCCCCTCCCCCCCCACCAGCGCCCTTCCCATGCCAGTCACTGCAGAACCCTTGTAGCCAGTGCGACGCGGGCATGGGTCGCTACTACGCATTTACGAGTCTGGATATCGCTCTGTTAAGGCGCCTCACAACTCCTCGGCCCCCTCCGGGCCTCCCCCCACACCAGTGGCCTTGCCATGCCAGTCACTGCAGAACTCATGTAGCCAGTGCCAGCCAGTGCCAGCCAGCGCCAGCCAGTGCCAGCCAGTGCCAGCCAGTGCCAGCCAGTGCAAGGCAGGCATGGGTCGCCTCGCTACTACCCATGCTCATTTCTGCACTGCTCTTCTGAGCCGCCTCTTGAGGCGCCTCAAAAGTCGTTACTACCCATTCACGGGTCTGCACTCGCTCTTGTGAGCCGCCTCATGACTCCTCTCCCCACTGCCCCCTCCCCTTACCCCCGCCGCACACGCACCAGCGCCCCCGCCATGCGAGTCGCCGCAGAACCCATGTGAGGGGGGTCAACGCGAGGCGGGCATGAGTAGCTACTATGGATGCAAGTGTCTGGACCTGCTCTTTAAGAGGCCTCACAACTCCTTTCCCCCTTCCCCCCTCCCCTCTCCCCCCTCCCCCCTCCCCCCTCCCCCCCCTCCCCCCTTCCCCCTCCCCTCTCCCCCCACACCAGCGCCCTCGCCATGCGAGTCGCCGCAGAAGCCATGTGGGGGGGGCCAATGCGAGGCGGGCATGGGTGCCAACTACGCATGCACGTGTCTGGATCCCATCTTCATTCCCGTTGCTGATAAAGGCGACGCCCACACGTGTGTGTTTGGTGAGTTCCGCACAAACGCCCTGTATCATAAACATGAACACATCTCCCACTACTTTTCCCCCAATTTCCATGCATCATCATCTTTCCTCCCTTCCCATCATAACCCATGACCTTATAGTGACCTCCCACCCCCTGTTACTCCTCCTCACCCCACTTCCCTCCCCTCCCCTCCTGCCTTTCCTGTTAGCTAAATGCACGCGTAATAGATAACTCCCCCTCCCTCTCCCTTCCCCCCGCACCCCCACCGCCCCTCCCACCTCTTCCCTCCCCGCCTAATGAAAACTCTCCTTGTGCCCTTCCCCTCCCTCTGCACCTCTTCCCCTCCCCTCCCCCTGCACCTCTTCCCCTCCCCTTCCCCCCCCCCCCCCCCCGCTCGCTCCCTGCCAGCCAACATGTGAAGCCAGCAGGATGACAACGAGATTTGAGTCGACTCAAAAGCCCCTCTCCCCGTCCCTCTCCCTCCCCCCCCCCCCACTCATCCCCTCCCCCCCTCCCACTCGCTCCCTGCCAGCCGACGTGTGCAGCCAGCAGGACGAGAATCCCTGTGCGGTCGGCACGTGCATCAACGACAACGCGGGCGGCTTCTTTTGTCTTTGTCCGCCAGGATTCGATCAAGGCTACCGCCCCAATGGCGCCCACACTTGCGTCCCATGTAAGTGTTCAAGCAGGTGGTCACTCTTGTCTTTTGGTGCCCATGTTTCCACATGCGTCCAAAAATGTGTTCAAGTGGGCGGCTCCCGTTGTCCTTTTGAGATTCATGTATTTCAAGGAGCCACACAATGTCACATCTATCCCATCCCATGTATGCATATATCACATCACATGTATGCATATATCCCATCACATGTATGCATATATCCCATCACATGTATGCATATATCCCATCACATGTATGCATATATCCCATCACATGTATGCATATATCCCATCACATGTATGCATATATCCCATCACATGTATGAACAGCTTACTTCTGAACCATCACTGTGTCTTCCTCTCACGTGTTCTTCTCGCCTCTCCTCCTCTTCTCGCCTCTCCTCCTCGTCTCGCCTCTCCTCCTCGTCTCGCCTCTCCTCCTCTTCTCGCCTCTCCTCTCGTCTCGCCTCTCCTCCTCGTCTCGCCTCTCCTCCTCGTCTCGCCTCTCCTCCTCTTCTCGCCTCTCCTCCTCGTCTCGCCTCTCCTCCTCGTCTCGCCTCTCCTCCTCTTCTCGCCTCTCCTCCTCTTCTCGCCTCTCCTCCTCGTCTCGCCTCTCCTCCTCCTCTCGCCTCTCCTCTCATCTGGTGATCATTCACTGCCTGCTCGTCTTCCCCCCTCCCCATCTCTACCCTCCCCCGTCTTTCCCTCTTCCCAACCCACGTCCCTGCAGCCAAGCCCCCCTACACCTACACCGTCATCTTCCCAATAGACATCAGCTGTCCGCTCGTCTACCAGCTCTACGGCCTCACAGAGGAGGCATTTCTCGCGCAGAATCCAGACCTGGTGAGCTCCCTCTCATTCTTTGGAGCCTAAACCCCTTCATTCCGCCCCACCCGTCTACCAGCTCTACGGCCTCACAGAGGAGGCATTTCCCGCCCAGATGAGCCTTCCTTCTGAGAATTCTCAAAAAACAGATTCAGCCTTTTTAGCACAGGCACGAGCTGCGTGAACCTACAGATCCTCAGCAATGAGGTAATTTTTGAGACGGCTCAAAAATTACCATACCCTACCTTCCAGCAAGAAAGTGAGCATGTGTGCTGTGCCACTCGTGAGCTGGTCACCTGTGCAACTCTCACACCACATCCCATCCCACTTCGCCCCACTGCACCCCACTGCACCCCGCCCCACCCACCGGGGATGGTGCAGCTGCGGGTTGTACTGCTTGTGGACTGCAAACGATGTGTGCGAGGGCGTGGCAGAGACTTTTGTGCTGCTGAATTCATTCCCCTCACCACAACCAACCAATCCCACTCCTTACACTTCCCACCCACCCACCTCACCCCACCCCACCCAACCCCGCCCCACCCCACCCCACCCCACCCACAGGGCATGGATCACTGCGAGACTATCCCTGCCAACACAGAAGTGATGGTGGCGCCGCCCCTCATGGGGGCGGTGCACTGTGTGCTCTACTACTCGTGGACGGCAAGTGACACATGTGAAAGCGTGGCAGACAATTTCTGGCTCACAGTGGATGATCTGGTGGAGCTAAACCCGGGGATCAACTGCACTGATTACACTGCCTGGAACGCTCCAACCGTGAACCAGCAGGTGAGATGCGGTGTAGTACTGTGCAGTGCGGTGCAGCTCGGTGCAGCACGGTGCAGTGCGGTGCTCGGTGGTATGGCTGGCATGTGTTGGTCACAGTGGACGACCTGGTAACGCTCAACCCTGGGATCAACTGCGCAGCTAGCACCGCCTGGAACGCTCCGACCATGAACCAGCAGGTGAGATGCAGTGCAGTGCGGTGCAGTGTGGTGCAGTGCCGGTGCTTAACTGTGTGGCGACCTGGCTGACGCTGAATTACGTGCACAACACAGGCAGGGGACACATTCAAAGCATCACGCCGCTCACTCCCGTCACGCCCCTTCTTTCTCCCCTCCCTTCTCCCCCACTTCCTGCCTCTATCCATGCAGCTGTGTGTAGCGAAGGGCAGCGGGGGAGGGGACGTGCCAAAGCTGCCCATGTGCACGGCATGGTACACGGTGCAGTCGGGGGACACGTGTGAGAGCATCATGACGGATTTCTCGCTCAACCAAACCGCCTTCTTCTCGCTCAACCCGGGCGTGGGCTGCGACAGCCTCTTCGCATCTGTTGGGGGCAGCACCTTTGGCTGGAGTGGAGGTGGTGTGCAGGTGAGCGGTGGGGAGACAGGTGAAGGGTGGAAAGCAGGTGAGGGGATGGCGTGCAGATGAGGGGATGGCGTGCAGGTGAGGGGTGGGGAGGAGGAAGTGGAGATAGGAGTGTGATGTTGTTATGCCTTCTTCTCTCTCGACTCAGCGGTGGGCTGCGACAGCCTCTTTGCGTCTGCTGGAAGCAGTGCCTTCGGCTGGAAGCAGTGCCCATCGTAGATGTGTGTGGATGCATACCTGGTGGATATCCCTGGTCCGCTCAACCCATTTCTCACTCTCCCCATTGAAGTACATTCACCCATCTCACTCTCCCCCATTGAAGTACATTCACCCATCTCACTCTCCCCCATTGAAGTACATTCACCCATCTCACTCTCCCCCATTGAAGTACATTCACCCATCTCACTCTCCCCCATTGAAGTACATTCACCCATCTCACTCTCCCCCATTGAAGTACATTCACCCATCTCACTCTCCCCCATTGAAGTACATTCACCCATCTCACTCTCCCCCATTGAAGTACATTCACCCATCTCACTCTCCCCCATTGAAGTACATTCACCCATCTCACTCTCCCCCATTGAAGTACATTCACCCATCTCACTCTCCCCCATTGAAGTACATTCACCCATCTCACTCTCCCCCATTGAAGTACATTCACCCATCTCACTCTCCCCCATTGAAGTACATTCACCCATCTCACTCTCCCCCATTGAAGTACATTCACCCATCTCACTCTCCCCCATTGAAGTACATTCACCCATCTCACTCTCCCCCATTGAAGTACATTCACCCATCTCACTCTCCCCCATTGAAGTACATTCACCCATCTCACTCTCCCCCATTGAAGTACATTCACCCATCTCACTCTCCCCCATTGAAGTACATTCACCCATCTCACTCTCCCCCATTGAAGTACATTCACCCATCTCACTCTCCCCCATTGAAGTACATTCACCCATCTCACTCTCCCCCATTGAAGTACATTCACCCATCTCACTCTCCCCCATTGAAGTACATTCACCCATCTCACTCTCCCCCATTGAAGTACATTCACCCATCTCACTCTCCCCCATTGAAGTACATTCACCCATCTCACTCTCCCCCATTGAAGTACATTCACCCATCTCACTCTCCCCCATTGAAGTACATTCACCCATCTCACTCTCCCCCATTGAAGTACATTCACCCATCTCACTCTCCCCCATTGAAGTACATTCACCCATCTCACTCTCCCCCATTGAAGTACATTCACCCATCTCACTCTCCCCCATTGAAGTACATTCACCCATCTCACTCTCCCCCATTGAAGTACATTCACCCATCTCACTCTCCCCCATTGAAGTACATTCACCCATCTCACTCTCCCCCATTGAAGTACATTCACCCATCTCGCTCTCCCCCATTGAAGTACATTCACCCATCTCGCTCTCCCCCATTGAAGTACATTCACCCATCTCGCTCTCCCCCATTGAAGTACATTCACCCATCTCACTCTCCCCCATTGAAGTACATTCACCCATCTCACTCTCCCCCATTGAAGTACATTCACCCATCTCACTCTCCCCCATTGAAGTACATTCACCCATCTCACTCTCCCCCATTGAAGTACATTCACCCATCTCACTCTCCCCCATTGAAGTACATTCACCCATCTCACTCTCCCCCATTGAAGTACATTCACCCATCTCACTCTCCCCCATTGAAGTACATTCACCCATCTCACTCTCCCCCATTGAAGTACATTCACCCATCTCACTCTCCCCCATTGAAGTACATTCACCCATCTCACTCTCCCCCATTGAAGTACATTCACCCATCTCACTCTCCCCCATTGAAGTACATTCACCCATCTCACTCTCCCCCATTGAAGTACATTCACCCATCTCACTCTCCCCCATTGAAGTACATTCACCCATCTCACTCTCCCCCATTGAAGTACATTCACCCATCTCACTCTCCCCCATTGAAGTACATTCACCCATCTCACTCTCCCCCATTGAAGTACATTCACCCATCTCACTCTCCCCCATTGAAGTACATTCACCCATCTCACTCTCCCCCATTGAAGTACATTCACCCATCTCACTCTCCCCCATTGAAGTACATTCACCCATCTCACTCTCCCCCATTGAAGTACATTCACCCATCTCACTCTCCCCCATTGAAGTACATTCACCCATCTCACTCTCCCCCATTGAAGTACATTCACCCATCTCACTCTCCCCCATTGAAGTACATTCACCCATCTCACTCTCCCCCATTGAAGTACATTCACCCATCTCACTCTCCCCCATTGAAGTACATTCACCCATCTCACTCTCCCCCATTGAAGTACATTCACCCATCTCACTCTCCCCCATTGAAGTACATTCACCCATCTCACTCTCCCCCATTGAAGTACATTCACCCATCTCACTCTCCCCCATTGAAGTACATTCACCCATCTCACTCTCCCCCATTGAAGTACATTCACCCATCTCACTCTCCCCCATTGAAGTACATTCACCCATCTCACTCTCCCCCATTGAAGTACATTCACCCATCTCACTCTCCCCCATTGAAGTACATTCACCCATCTCACTCTCCCCCATTGAAGTACATTCACCCATCTCACTCTCCCCCATTGAAGTACATTCACCCATCTCACTCTCCCCCATTGAAGTACATTCACCCATCTCACTCTCCCCCATTGAAGTACATTCACCCATCTCACTCTCCCCCATTGAAGTACATTCACCCATCTCACTCTCCCCCATTGAAGTACATTCACCCATCTCACTCTCCCCCATTGAAGTACATTCACCCATCTCACTCTCCCCCATTGAAGTACATTCACCCATCTCACTCTCCCCCATTGAAGTACATTCACCCATCTCACTCTCCCCCATTGAAGTACATTCACCCATCTCACTCTCCCCCATTGAAGTACATTCACCCATCTCACTCTCCCCCATTGAAGTACATTCACCCATCTCACTCTCCCCCATTGAAGTACATTCACCCATCTCACTCTCCCCCATTGAAGTACATTCACCCATCTCACTCTCCCCCATTGAAGTACATTCACCCATCTCGCTCTCCCCCATTGAAGTACATTCACCCATCTCGCTCTCCCCCATTGAAGTACATTCACCCATCTCACTCTCCCCCATTGAAGTACATTCACCCATCTCACTCTCCCCCATTGAAGTACATTCACCCATCTCACTCTCCCCCATTGAAGTACATTCACCCATCTCACTCTCCCCCATTGAAGTACATTCACCCATCTCACTCTCCCCCATTGAAGTACATTCACCCATCTCACTCTCCCCCATTGAAGTACATTCACCCATCTCACTCTCCCCCATTGAAGTACATTCACCCATCTCACTCTCCCCCATTGAAGTACATTCACCCATCTCACTCTCCCCCATTGAAGTACATTCACCCATCTCACTCTCCCCCATTGAAGTACATTCACCCATCTCACTCTCCCCCATTGAAGTACATTCACCCATCTCACTCTCCCCCATTGAAGTACATTCACCCATCTCACTCTCCCCCATTGAAGTACATTCACCCATCTCACTCTCCCCCATTGAAGTACATTCACCCATCTCACTCTCCCCCATTGAAGTACATTCACCCATCTCACTCTCCCCCATTGAAGTACATTCACCCATCTCACTCTCCCCCATTGAAGTACATTCACCCATCTCACTCTCCCCCATTGAAGTACATTCACCCATCTCACTCTCCCCCATTGAAGTACATTCACCCATCTCACTCTCCCCCATTGAAGTACATTCACCCATCTCACTCTCCCCCATTGAAGTACATTCACCCATCTCACTCTCCCCCATTGAAGTACATTCACCCATCTCACTCTCCCCCATTGAAGTACATTCACCCATCTCACTCTCCCCCATTGAAGTACATTCACCCATCTCACTCTCCCCCATTGAAGTACATTCACCCATCTCACTCTCCCCCATTGAAGTACATTCACCCATCTCACTCTCCCCCATTGAAGTACATTCACCCATCTCACTCTCCCCCATTGAAGTACATTCACCCATCTCACTCTCCCCCATTGAAGTACATTCACCCATCTCACTCTCCCCCATTGAAGTACATTCACCCATCTCACTCTCCCCCATTGAAGTACATTCACCCATCTCACTCTCCCCCATTGAAGTACATTCACCCATCTCACTCTCCCCCATTGAAGTACATTCACCCATCTCACTCTCCCCCATTGAAGTACATTCACCCATCTCACTCTCCCCCATTGAAGTACATTCACCCATCTCACTCTCCCCCATTGAAGTACATTCACCCATCTCACTCTCCCCCATTGAAGTACATTCACCCATCTCACTCTCCCCCATTGAAGTACATTCACCCATCTCACTCTCCCCCATTGAAGTACATTCACCCATCTCACTCTCCCCCATTGAAGTACATTCACCCATCTCACTCTCCCCCATTGAAGTACATTCACCCATCTCACTCTCCCCCATTGAAGTACATTCACCCATCTCACTCTCCCCCATTGAAGTACATTCACCCATCTCACTCTCCCCCATTGAAGTACATTCACCCATCTCACTCTCCCCCATTGAAGTACATTCACCCATCTCACTCTCCCCCATTGAAGTACATTCACCCATCTCACTCTCCCCCATTGAAGTACATTCACCCATCTCACTCTCCCCCATTGAAGTACATTCACCCATCTCACTCTCCCCCATTGAAGTACATTCACCCATCTCACTCTCCCCCATTGAAGTACATTCACCCATCTCACTCTCCCCCATTGAAGTACATTCACCCATCTCACTCTCCCCCATTGAAGTACATTCACCCATCTCACTCTCCCCCATTGAAGTACATTCACCCATCTCACTCTCCCCCATTGAAGTACATTCACCCATCTCACTCTCCCCCATTGAAGTACATTCACCCATCTCACTCTCCCCCATTGAAGTACATTCACCCATCTCACTCTCCCCCATTGAAGTACATTCACCCATCTCACTCTCCCCCATTGAAGTACATTCACCCATCTCACTCTCCCCCATTGAAGTACATTCACCCATCTCACTCTCCCCCATTGAAGTACATTCACCCATCTCACTCTCCCCCATTGAAGTACATTCACCCATCTCACTCTCCCCCATTGAAGTACATTCACCCATCTCACTCTCCCCCATTGAAGTACATTCACCCAT